CGGAGCAGGGCCACGGAGTCTCCACTCCGTTCCGTCCTCTATGGTACATTGCAGGGAGTTGCTGTGTTAGTGGATTCCTCGCATGCCTGCTGCAGCTGTGTCCCATCCTCAGAGCTCCTTTTGATTTCATGCTTTTCCTCAATGGGTGAACACTGCTACGTTTTTCATATAAACCTTAATTTTTAGATGTAAAACCTTAATTTTACTAATAATTCCACACTCCTCTATCCTGCTGTGATTGTCGTTACACATTTTATTTTTTCCCCTTCCTAAATATGTTATCACAGAGGCACTACCACTGTCGCTGATGGGCTCGGCCTTGGCCAGTGACGGGTCCATCTTCTAGCCAGCTGGCATTGGGTCTGTCAGAAGTGGTGGATGTTTCTGGCAGCTTCTCATAGAAGCCACCTTTGCAGACCGCTGCTACCAAAACCTTACCATGCAAACACAATACACAGATATATGTGTAGTATTTTTAATACCAATCTATTTGTTTTGATCTCACACATCTGTTGTGTTTTCACTGGGAATTAGGTAAAGAAGGACTGGAATTTCTCAGTCCTGGAAGGCAGTACAGGTAATGATCTCTCCCATGACGTATAGTACAAGTTATTCAATGTTTCCTTTCCTATGCAGATAGCAGCTGCTTCTGACTCTACTCAGTCTGTATCACTTGGGCAAATGCGAATGAATGCCTATTTAATATGTGCCTCAGATCTCTTATTTCATTAGTATAAAAGCCTCTTTTGAAATTTTTGTATTTTGAGAAGAGTTTTTGTAATACTAAATTTAATCACTTTTGTGGTAGAAAAAGCATATAATAACAAATTACAAACTTAATGAACTTTTAAGTTATAAACTGATGAAGGCTAGAACTATGCAAGTTTAACTCAGTTTTAGAATGCTGAAAGACTGATTAAAGCAGATTAAATTGACATTTTTTAATATTCTACTTTGGCCTGTCTTTCAGGTGAGAGTTTTAATCTTGAGACTCTTAGTTTTACTTCCAAAAAGTAGCAATCATCAAACTAATTGAAAATTAAGTAATACTTATTGTTGCTTACTCTTTTGAGTCTAAATTCTGCTTGAGTTTGAAACAAGTCACTCTCTGCTCCTACAGAGCGAAAATTGCTTCATTTGTTGATGTTCATCAGATTTATTTTAAAATAATACCAAATATTATTTAATGAAAATAATATACAGCCAATCCCATTGCTATTTCATTTTTATATCTAGTTGTGAGATTGCGTGAGTTGCAAAAAACCCTAGTCAACCCACATAAACAAAAGACAAGAACAGAAGAATCCTTGACAGAATCAGCGCACGCTGTTGAATAGGGAGTTGCTGAACCCAGCAGCCATTGCCCCCCGATGCAGCCAGAAGCTGGAATACAGTGCTGTATTCCCAGTAGGCACACACATACAAAGCACATGTGTACATCACA